TGTCCGTATTTTGTGCTGAGCAAAAATTTATTCAGATTATTTGCATCCAAAATAAAAGTTTGTAATATATGTGTGTGTATTATATATGCATAAACACTCACTGGCACTTTATTAGGTATACCTTACTAGCACCGGGTTGGACCTCCTTTTGTCTTCAAAACTGTCTTAATCCTTCGTGGCATACAGTAGATTCAACAAGGTACTGGAAATATTCTTCAGAGAGTTTGGTCCATATTGACATGATAGTATCACGCAGTTGCTGCAGATTTTTCAGTTGCACATCCTTGATGTCAATTTGATTGTGATTGGCTGATTAGAAATTTGCGTTAATAAGCAGTTGGACAAATGCACCTAATAAAGTGGCTAGTGAGTGTATATACACTTGTGTGTGTGTGTGTGTGTGTGTGTGTGTGTGTGTGTGTGTGTGTGTGTGTGTGCGTGTGCGTGTGCGTGTGCGTGTGCGTGTGCGTGTGTGTGTGTGTGTGTGTATACATGTTTTGTTTATTTGTTATTGTGGGACACATACATATAAACAAAACTATATAAAATAATTTTGTTACATAGATATTTACATTTATTTTATATTTTACACATATATTTTTTTAATATCTAAATATAAATAAATACTTTCTCAAATATATGCATGCATGTGTGTATTTATATATATATATACATATCCATACAGTATATTGTTTCAAAACAAACTTTAATTTAGGATGTTATTAATTGCGATTAATCTTTATATTTTTTCAGTTTATTAACAGGTTTTCTTGTTGTAAACTACTTAAACAGTAGTTAGCAATAAGAACCCTGACAACATATCACTTCAAACATTGTTTGAATATGATAAATGATGGCCATTATGCAGAGAAAACTGTAATATAAACTGCAGCAGTGCTAACTGCTAATTGCTTTATACACAGTCAATATGAATTAAAGTCTTTATGACAGCCGACAGTTTATTTTCTGTGTATCATTTTATTACATTTATAATAAAATGATAATCATATTAGTCAGTATATAAATCAAAGTTACAATGACTGCCAACAGCTTCTTTTCCATGCATCATTTTATTGTATCTATAACAGTAAATCATACAAGCATGTCATCTCTTGCTGCACTCAAGACATTAATGTGTGAGCTCCTCTGACATACTCTTCAATCCTATTGGATGTTTCTTGTAAAATGTGCTGCTAATTTGCATAATGTTAATGTTTTTCTTACCTAAACACATCTCCATCAGGTCACCAACGGTCACCGGAGATCACCAGCTTTCCTTTGAAATGAATGGGATCATTTTTCTTCTGTCACTGAATGCAGGTTTATGATTTAATGTAATAAAATAATAAATAAAAATTTTAATGAATAATCATAGATCCGTATTTTGTAGTGAATTCACCTCCACTTATGAACATTGGAAAACCCCTTTCATTTTGTACACAGAAGGCTTTCATTCAGTTTTTTTCTCATTTCCAAAAATCATTTCCTTGCTGAATTAAACTCTCCACTCTGGAGGAGCAAACATTAAGAATGAGTTTGCTAATGAAACATGGCGGAAGTTGAAATTATTTAAAACAGTTCCTCCATGCTTTTCTTCTATGAGAAAGGGATGAAATTGATTACTTGCCCTTTTTCCCTTTTTAGTGCGAGGCTCTCGGTCTTGTGAAATGTGTTAACAGGGCTGGATGATATAGTGCACCGGCCGTGATTAATATGATAGCGGTAGAGCCGTGCGGATGTGTGATCATACCCACACTTCCTCTTCACTCAGTGGAAGCAAGTCATTTGAGCGGTTTTTCCTTACGCACACATGTGTACACACTTCCTCCAGTTTGAGGGTGAACAGTCGTCAATGCGAGGAATGTCCTGATGAGAAAGGATATTAACACATCTCTTGGCCAAATCTTTAGCCATGTGCAAAATCAGAATCCGCCTGTTTGAATAGTTGCCAAGGTCATCAAGGTCAAGCAGCTCGTATTTTCGTGTGTGTGCGTGTACGTATGTCTGTGTGTACGTATGTCTGTGTGTGTGTGTGTGTGTGTGTGTGTGTGTGTGTGTGTGTGTGTGTGTGTGGAGCAGCTACAAATTTAATTTCAAATTTAATACCATTTTAATTTTAGCACACTTTGTCATTCTTTAGGTGAACATTTAATCCATGCAAGTTAATTGAAAAAATGTTTGTTTTGGTCATCTTCAAACAAAGTCTGACCATTTGCTTCTTCGTTTGGAGTGGTGGTTCTTCTTAGTTGATGTTTGACAGCTTCAGCCACAATATTCTATCTCACAGCAATTCGTAACTTTTTGATTTAGTGCAATGCTTCCCGCACATAGACGGGCTCATAAAAAAAAAACATGACACAGCAGATTTTGTTCTTCTTGGCTTTGTGGCTGTTCATCAAGACGACGACAAGGTTTGTTTGAGCTCAGGTCGACCATAACTTGTTATTACATGTATATTTTATAAAATGGCACTTTCTTTGTTTTCATTCTCCTGCTTGTGCGAGTGACGTATCTCTGTAAATCAATAGCTTGCTCCGCCTTTTGGTACCCTTTTTCATGCTAGGTACCCTTTGCAAAGGGTAACCAAAAAGTGGTATGATTCAGTTTGCTTTTAGGTACCCTTTGACAGTGGAAATGGCCATAAAAGTGTACCGAAGTGAACCGAACTGTACCAAACCACTCAGTGGAAACGGGCCAATAGACCCAGACGACCGCAGACGTACAGTGCATCTGGAAAATCAGAGCCCAGACCTAAATCGTATTGAACATTTCTGGAGAGATCTGAAAATGGCTGTACACTGTTGCTTTTTATCCAACCTGATAGAGCTTAAGAGGTACTGCAAAGAGGAATAGGCAAAAATTCAGAAAAGACAGGTGTTCCAAACTTGTGGCATCATATTCGAAAAGACTTGAGGCTGTAATTGCTGCCAAAGTTACATCAACAAAGTATTGAGCAAAGGCTGTGAATACTTATGTACATGTGATTTTTTTAGGTTTTTTATTTGTAATAAATTTGCAACAATTTAAAAATATTTTTTTTTTTCACGTTGTCATTATGGGGTATTGTGTGTAGAATTTTGAGAAAATAAATTAATTTAATCCATTTTGGGAATAAGGCTGTAACATAAAAAAATCTGAAAAAGTGAAGCGCTATGAATATTTCTGTATGCACTGTATATTGACGACCGCCCAAGTATATTTGATGACATTTCTTTTTATTATTATTTATATTTTACACTTTTTTTATGTATAAGCCCAATAGCCAAGCATCCACGATCAATTAACTACTGGAAAATCTCGTCTTGCCCTATACGTTTCCTACTTTTTTTTTTTTTTTTGTGCGCAAGATCTGTCATCACTTCCACAGACATTCTCAAGTGCTCTGCAGAGACCGACAGAGACGTGCCTTTTTTGAACTTAAAAATTTGTTTGTTCAAGGTTTCTAAAAATCTTCTAAAATATCCAACATTCGGCTTTTGGGTTAGCTTTCTAAGCTCAATAATGACATCATTTTTATTTTAACCCTGATTTACTTTCACTTACCTTCACAGCTGAAAGTGCGTGCACAGCTGCAAGACTGAGATTCTTTGATCTAAACGACTCAGATAAACTTTTCTATTTACTTAGAGAGGGCGAAATTACATCTAAACTGGAAAAATATAACAGCAAAGTATGTACACTATTAGAAATGGCTAATTATATATATATATATATATATATATATATATATATATATATATATATATATATATATATATATATATATATATAATCATTTGCCTTATTTAAATAATCTACAGTTTTTATTCTTGTAATTACTGGATTTTTATTCCATAGATGTTTTTATTCCATTAAGTCATTTGTTTCTCATTTACTGTACAAAATGTCAGCAGCAGATTTTACCTTTCAGTGGGTGCACATGGCTCCTGAATAGAATAAAAGTAAAACAAATAGTGGATGTCTTTTTTTATTATTTTAAGCTATTAAAAAAAACTTCAACCTATTGAAAAGAAATAGTGTATAATAAATTAAAATATTGTTAAAAATCACTTATTTTGTTGTATATAGGTAACCATGTGCCGTGGGTAAAAGGTGTGTTTCAATCCAGCTACCACCATAAGGATATTTTAAACCTGTGGGATGAATGAATGTGTATGAATTTGTACAATCTCATTCTTAAAATTTAGTATGGTTTGCTTATCACACAATGACGCTTGGGTTTAGGGGTGGGGTTGGGTATCACACCTACATTTTCATATGACTGAACTCATATAAATTCATACAAATTAGCCACTAAACTGACACAACGTAAAATAGTTCACTCTCAAGTGGTTCTAAACTTTTAGAAATTTCTTCTGTTTTTTCTGATTAATGTTAGAAAAAAAACAGCCGTTGACATCCACTGTAGTATTTTTTGTTCATACTATGAAAGTCAGTGGTTGTTTTTTCCCAACGTTATTGAGTATTTCTTCATTTGTGTCCAGCAAAAGAAACGTAAAAAGGTTTGGAACAAGGGGAGGGTGCGTAAATGACAAAATATACATTTCTGGGTGAACTACCCCTTTAAATAAAGAATTTTAAAGTGACACCAAATGATTCCTGTTTTAAAAAAGGTATATAAGGGTATATAGACAACTATAAATTCACAGGGATTTGCTGTGTATCTAGGCACCCAGGAACACACTCTTTATGAACTACTTCCAACAGTATATTCCAGTTAAATCCTAAAACAGTTTGAATTGCAAAGCAATGACATTATTGTCCATCATTAAACTTTTAGGACTGTATGTCCAGTAAATGTGAATGGGACCTGATGTAATCTTCATGATTGCTGTTTTTGTGTTTGTACAAACACTGGCCTTTGAGCTAGTAACGGCTTTTTTTTTTGTTTTGGATGAGTTTCATGGCTGCTGTGTTATGCAAATGTTTACCTAGTTGTCATTTATTGCAATTCTGCAACATGCTAATCCACATGGCTGTTTTTGTCTCTGTTTCTGCAGCCAACGGTATGTACATGGGGAGCCAAGAAATGAGATTGGTTGTTGAAAGAGACAACGCAACCATACATCAACACCTCAGCAAGGTAATAACCACAAACCATTTGAACAGCAGACCAGAGCGAAAAACCAAAAAAAAAAAAAAAAAAAACAGGAATTAAAAATTCTGGACTTAATGAAAGCTATAAAAAATTGGGAAAAGTTATTTCTTTCCCTGTAATATTATTATCATTCTTTTATCATCATTATTATTCAAATGTCTTTTAAGTGTTTCCACTAACAGATTTTGGCCGGCAGGAAGGAAGAAGCACTATTTAGAATGTTGTTTGAATACAATATTACAATTTATTATTATAACTGATCAATTTACTTTAAACAAACTGTACTGTGCGCAGTCTCCAATTTGTTTGTGACTAATTCTAGATTCTAGATTCTATGTTACAAAATGTAAAGGTACAAATGAAATCAAACATATAATTTGTGAAAGTTGCCAAAAGGATAAATATGTCCAATGTTAAAAGAAGAGATAAGAAAAAAAAGAAATAAGTTTAAGTAATAGACGAATGATGTATGTGGTAATGGGGTTGGAAAATAATAAGCTTGTGCTTCATCCCACTTTATTTTAGACCATGTTGAAATGTATTTTTTGTTAATGATATTTTATGTATGATATTTCTGTTCGAAAATAAATAAATCAAATCAAATTAAATCATTGAAAATACTGTGATAAAATAAATGGTTATATTTTAAAGACATGTCTAGGAACAATGTAATTTAATTAAGTGCTTCTTCTACGGTCTGATACACACTTTATATCGTATCTCAGTCAGGCAGTGAAGATCAGTGATTTTGAAGAAAGCAGATCTTAAACAGCAATTTTAGTTAACCGGAAGTGTGTGAGCTGGTTTCTGAATAATCAAAGTCTATGTACATATACCTCATTCTCAAATGCCATATTTTAATGTAACATCCTAAAATGCAGATAGAAATAGGTGGATGGAAACAGACATTCCTTGTCAAAGCTTTAGAAAACTCTTGAGCCCGCAAACTGATCGAATGTTAGTCCTGTCTGATCTGTGCATCCCACCCATAATCCCACAGAGGAAGGAAGCTCCTTCTTTTCCATCCAACATCCACTGTCTGTTGGTCTGCATGGGTGTCAGAGTGTGTAGCGTTCCTTGGTATCAGCTTTGCAGTCCGTCCTGCTTGCCAATAGCGATGCTAGAATCATTTTCTTCGAGAAACGCCGAAGGTGAAGACAGGAGGTCATACGTTTAAACCCCTCTCAGCCTTAAACCGCATGCATCTGACTCCTCGATTAGATTTATGGGCTGTGGTGAAATCGATCAGGCCGACAGATGTAGAAGCCATCACGATTAACTGGTACAGTCGGCAAAGGCCAAACATTATGCAGTTTGTCAGAGAAATCATGCAAAGCAGCTGACAAGAGAATTTGATCTTTCTATTGTGTCCGGCTCTTGAGGTCTCACCAATAAATAGCCTTTAGAAATCAGCACGGGTGGTTTGATGTTATTGGCACCATCGAGCAGAGGTTATTGAAGGAAATACCCTTCAAGTGTCCCGCTCTTCTGTCCGGGGGGACGTGGCGGATTTAATGTCAATCTTTCTTATATTTTTGTTTTATTGAAATGCAATCTTGATTGTTTTCCCATTTGGATCCCGTGTGAAGAACTCGCTTTGCTATGCCTTTGCTGACGATTTTCTCCGTGATTTATGAAGTTATTCCGCTTTACAGATTCATGGCACATGATGGATGGTCTAATTTAATTCATGTTTATTGGACAAATTAAATATAACAAGATGATTTATAGAGATTTTTTTTTTTTTTTTTGCTTTAATTGGTACAATTAATGAAATGAAATGAAATGAAATGAAATACTGACTTACCAAACAAATTTGTATTTTCTTTTTTTTTTGGTTGCTTTTTTTGCAGATTACTTTGTACAAAAAAAATATTTTGTTGTTTTGTAAAAGCGTATTTTACTTTTAAAATTGTTTAATTAATGTTAAATGTATTTTATGTAGGGACTTTTCTCATTAATTTAAGATTTATGCAAAGTCTCTAATTTAATAATTTATTCTTGTTTCTAATTCATACAATTAAAATATAATTTCATAAAAACGACAGATTTGTTCGTGCCGTCTGAACCACCAAAGTATTTTATTTTATTTTATTTTACTTTATTTTATTTTATTTTACTCTGTAAAACCCAATAAGTTAAGACCACTTAAACCGTTTGAGGAAACCAATTGCAACAAACCATTTAAGTTCAAAAACTAATCCTAATGAGTACTGTGAACTGTTTAAAGAAACAATTTGAACACAGTAAAAACCAATAAATGAAGAGAACTCAAACCAACTAAGTACTGTAAAACCTAATAAGTTAGGGTAACTCAAACCATTTGGGGAACCGATTGCTACAAACCATTTCAGTAAAAAAAACTAATCTCTATGAGTACTGTGAACTTACTCTATTTAAGTTGAAGTAATGAGGTATTCATTAACGGATTTCCTTCAACACTGAGTTCAAAACACTTTTCAAATGAGTAGAATTAACTTTCAGTAAAGTTTGAGTTAACTACACTCATTTCATTTCATAAAGTTGACTGTTGGGTTTTACAGTGTATTCATATTTTTTTCTATTTTTTCTATTTTTTATTTTATGCATTTAAATCGTTGGTAAGGCTTTTATTGCATTTAATAAATGTTTTATGTTATTGTCTAAAAAGATAAATGTAAAGTCTTTTTTAGAAGGGCATTTACTAATTTTGTCTTTATTTTTTTATTAAAGTTTATTTAATAAAGTTTATTTAGTAAAGTTTACATTTATTTTTGATAATGTGATTTATTAAATCATTTGACATTCTTGGTTTTAATTATTTTCTTCAAAGAAAAAGGTTTGGAGCTTCAAATGAAGACTTATGTCATTCACTGATCATTTATTTCTAACATCTTGATTTGTGCTATAAAAGAAGATACTCCAGTGGTGGTTAAAGTTATTGTGTAAATAACATCTGAGGGCAGATTTGTTTTATTTTAATTTTTTTTATTCTGCCATCACATACTGTACTTTTAAAAAGGAAATGTATTATTATTATTATTATTAATAATAATAATATTATTATTATTATTATTATTATTATTATTATTATTATTAAGCAGCACTCTCTAAAGTGGCTGACAGAAAAACAGAAAACCTTATGATTTATTTAATGTTTTGTTAACAAACGCTATAAAACAAACCTAAATTACGTCAGTTAAAGTCTTAACTGGGCTGTTCGTTTTGTGTTTTCCTCCATCAGATTATTTTTTACTATGGAGCCACGGATCACTGGTGTCCAGTAAAGTATTGCCATGATATCAGGAAGGACTTTCCTGAAGGGGACATTCGACTATGTGAAAGAGGCATCCGGCATGCTTTCGTCCTGGATGCAGGGGAGGAAATGGCTAAAATGACAGCAGAGTGGATCTCAGATGACCTCAGGACGCTCTGACAGTGGCTAAACATTTAGCATTTTAACCACTTTAATGTCTGCAGGCTATAAATTGTACCTGGGCCCCCTATGAGTTTTTTAAGAACATTACTCATAGATTTATAAACACATATGTCTCTTTATCGATTGTTTCTATGGGCTGCTATACGTAAGCTTTCCAGCCTAGTATAATTATCAAAACATTGTCTGTGAGCACTTGACGAATCATTTCTTCCACTACACTCTCAGTATTAAAGGTACAAAACCTGTCACCTTTTAAAAAGGTACTTTTAGTACCTAACAGGTCCACATTTCTACCTTAAAACAGCATTCCAACGGTCTAATCCAATTCAATGATTTATGCTAAGCTAAGCTAAAAGTGCTCCAGTCACATCTGAAAATATTAATTATTAAAAGAAAAACTGTTGGGGACTTGTAAAATGAACCTATTTCTAAAAACAAGGAGTGTTCTTTTAAAGGTGTATATTAAAAGCTAAAAAGTACAAATGTATTCATAGTACCTGTGAGTGGTCCTGAATTGGGGAAAAAAGCATCAAAACATACCTTACCAGCATTTTTCAGAGGGCTCCCCCATGACATGACAGTAAGCTGTATCTATAATAAAGAATTGCGAATATGCAGATAATATAACAGTCTTATTGATAAACACACACATTTATTTGCTCTGCGCTGCTGAGGTCTGTGGATTAAATGAAGAATGAGCTAAAAGATGGAGAGGAGCCCAAATCTGCCTCCATTTTTATATTACATTTAAAGGGGACTAAATCCATTACAAATGTGTGTACAACTCAATAGACCTAATGTTAAATGTTTAAGGAGTGCTAAGTATCATTTTTTGGGGCTAAAGCGCTATACAAATCCTCATCTATCAACAGTGTGCAGCAAACACCAAGTACATGAAGTGAAGAAATGGCATGTAGCGTGGAGCATCCTTAATTAATATCAATTCATTGTTATTATTCTTTTTTTTTTTTTATTCAACATTAAAATTTCTTAAGCTAAAAAAATAACATGATTAAAAAGATTCCGCAGCCTGACATGAAAACACTGTGCTCTGAATGTGGGGAAGTTTTTTATTAGCAAAAAATTATATAATTTTATATATAAATATAAAAAACATAAGACAGAAAATAGAATAAGATAGAAAATGCATCTGCTATGGTTTAATTAAAATACTAAAAGACCAAAAGGACCAAAATTGTTCAAAGAATTTTTTTTTCAAAAATCATGCAGCGGTATCAATAAAATGTGATTAATATAATTAGCGAGTTTTAGTCGTTTTTTGCAATGAATTTCTGAAAGTTTTAGAAAAATCACATTTCATATTTATACATCTTCTGAATTCACATTTGTATTTTAAATATCTCTATAATAATTTCATATAAAAAAATTGAAAAAAGAATATTGAGTAATTAAAGAGAAACTATTGTATACTGAATACTGTTTTAGCATTAGTACATTGCATATGTTTCAATTAAATGTTTTACACTCAGAACATGTTACCTGTGATTTGATTTCCGCCTAAAGAGAAATTGTGTTAATATTGCAGGAAATGTCTGCACTAGCACGGGTCAAATTTGGTCCTGTCAGCAGTGACCTGGAACCTCATAAAACCACAAAATTATACATTTTAATGAATCTCAGGCTGACCCTGGTTTAAGCGTGAAAAATTATGCATTTTTCAGCCCTGGATCATTTTTATTTTCCAGACGGCATCAGTGAGACTCTGGAATAGTGTTTTACCTGTAAAGCTGCTATTGTCTTACCGTGAGATCTATTTGGATTCTATGGGCCCCGACTTGGCTCTGGCATGTCCCAAGAGCTTGCTTTATGGTGAGCGGAGAAGCCAAAGAGGGACCCCTTATAAGAAAACCCGGCTGTAGGTTTGTTCTCTGCTTGCATGATTTCCTGGGGGTTACCAAGTGAAATATTTTGACAGTTTACCTCAACAGCCTGGGGAGCCGTAATGTTATTCAGTCTTCTAACCACCTCAGTCAATGTAACGAAACATCAAAACTCCCATGTTTTACTCTGATGCTCAATGTGACTTTAGCTGATAGTCCTGAACTTTAAGTGATAGGACATGCAAAAAAAACAATCCATTATGTCCTTCCCAACCTGTGACTTTCTTCATTGTGGGACGCACATCCATCCAGTCACATTTTACCATAATAATGAAAAGAGCAAGGACTGTCAATCTCCAAAAAGACAAAAAACAAGTATTAAAACATGAGTCAATCGTTATTCCACATCTGCTCAAGCCTAGCATTGGAACAGACCAAAATTTAGATCATTATGTACTGAAAATTATTTTCCTTGCCACATTCCTGAAAGTATTGGTCATGTCCATTTCCTGGATGAATCATTCATTTGATTCTTGAACCTTTTCAACACATTGGTTGATTCAGAAACCAGTCTAAAGTATTTGTCTGCAAACAAAATTTTGACTCTTTTAAAATAGACCAGCAGAGGAGATAGAATAAGTCAATAAAAAACTTTTAGTTGAGTATAACATTTTTATACAAATTTATTTAAATTTTAAAAAGTCAATTTAGACCATTATAGATTTATCCCAAAAAAAGAATCTTTACATTTACAAATAGCGCCCAACAACACCACCTGCTTCGAATGTTATCACTTGATAGAATGGGTATTATCACTGGTTATCATTTGATAGACATGAGCCAGTAGAAGCCTTCTACACCTACTAGTAGGTTCAGAAGGCTGTTATCATCCATCCGCATGGTTAATCAGCTATACTAATAGAAAAAACTCCTGTCTTTACATTACTGTGACGGTAGACTTTAATAATATTAAAAATTATGGAAAATTTAATAAATAATATAAATATTTCTTGTTAACTTCCTGCCACAGCTGTATGTGATCTATAGCTGATTAACCAAGTGGATGGATGATAACAGCCTTCTGAGCCTACCAGTAGGAGTAGAAGGCCCCTACTGGCCCATATCTATCAGCTGATAACCACTGATAACGCCCATTCAATCAAGTGATAACATTTGAATCAGCTGACTACAGAGAGCTTTCTCTGATCTGATTGAGATGAGATGTATCAGTCTATTCTGATTGAGCTGTCACTTATAGTGTGTATTGTAAACAAACTGGCCATTATCATACCTGAACTTTAGCTTGAGGTTAAAACTGCGATCACACTGAACTTTTCTCCCCATAGACTTCCATTCATACACGCAAATACGTCAGACTGGAGACGCAAGCTCATGCGGCAAGTTTCGCAGGTCACCGCGTTGAAAAGTTAAGCTTCATGAACTCTGACTGCAAAATCGCATCACTTGACAGCGTGAGACCAATCGTTGATTAAAACATGACCTCTCTGGATTGAAATTTAAAACATTTTTTAAACTTTTTAAAATATCTAATCATCTTGTTTAATCCAGTCCTTTTCGCAGTGCCGCACAACAGAATTTTGTTTGCACAAACTCTAGTGTGCAGCGCTTGTAAACAAATCATTTTACTATTTAAACAAGAATCCTCATCTCTGCATGCAAATTCTGTTTAAACCAGCCCTAAAGGTCTTAAAGGCTTATAATTTACAGAAAACTGAAAATTCTGTCATCATTCACTTATATTTTACTTATTCCAAACCTATTGGACTTTCTTCTGTTGAACATAAAAGATATTTTGAAGTAAGCTGAACAGCTGTAGTCAAGTGGTTACTGTGTTCCAGCTTTCTTTAAAATATCTGCTTTTGTGTTCAACAATAAATAAACTCATAACAGTTTGGAACAACTTTAGGGCAAGTAAATTTAAATTTTTGGGTGAACTATCCCTTTAAATTCTTTAACGTCTTTTATTCTTTTGATTGTTCAACTGAACTAAATTAGGGGTTTGTTTCCCAAAAAACTAATGACAAATAACTAGCATAATATAATGTTATCATATTTGGCTCGCATAGCTTTTGGGAAATTCTCCTCTAACTAATCTCTATCAACATTGGCTCTAAAGCCATCTCAACATGCTGAATTAGCCGTACTGCCACAGACATGAACACACACTTATGGAACAATAGACAAAACTAGCATATTTAACCTTGGCTTTTTGGCATCTTGCTGCTAAATCCTTCTATTAACCTATAGCCAGATAACAGCTTTTGCCCACTGGGGTCAACTTGACATTATTTACCAAACCTTTAGAATGTTATTTTCAAAACGGTTTGTGTCAAGTAGTTGATGTCTTGTATTGATAACTTAAATGTCTCTTTAAATAAACCATGTATTTGCAAACATTAAACACTGAATCATTTACTCATCCTCCACTTTGCCAAATCTGAGTTTCTTCTGTTAAATCTAATAGAAGATATTTTGGAGAATGTTAAAAACGGGTAACAACTGACTGCCATAGTATTTGTTTTATTACTATGGATGTCAGTGGCTACAAATTTCCAACATCCTTTAAAATATCTTCGTGTTCAACAGAAAAAAAAGAAACTCACACAAGTTTGCAACCACTACAGGTTAAGTAAAATGGAGAGCAGATTTTTATTTTTTGGTGAACTGTGTCTTTAAAGGCTGGGACACAGCAACCTGATGCCATATCATTTGGAAATATTTGATAAATGCATTTTTTATCTTTTCTCTTGATTTGAATTGTTTTCTTGATTACATCACTTCCGTTTTTTGACCTCGCACTCTGATTCATTGCTGAATAATCAATCAAACCCCTCTCCTCAGCTGATGGCCAACAAGATCCAACGTTAACCCGACGAGAGGTGATGTGGAGCGCACCAAACCAAATAGCCTGTGTCCTGACATCATTCAATTCATCTTTATTTTTACAGAGCTTTTCCAATGTAGATTGTGTCAAAGCAGCTTCACATAGAAGATTATTGTGAATTGAAACAGTGTCAGTCCAGTTTTTAGAGTTTAGGTTCAGTTCAGTTCAATGTGGTTTAATTATTATATCCTAGCTGTCTGATTATGCTACAATACAATGCTGAATGTGAATGGTTCTGAGGTTGGGGTTGTAGGGATTGGGGTAAGTTATGCCGGTATTACAGCCTCATATCACACCACTACATCAAAATTTAAGCTGGTATCACAA